ACCCCCTCACCAGCTCTCCAGAGAGTGAAGGAAGCGGAGCTGACGTTCTGGACGGAGCAGGTGAAGGCCCCGTAGTCCTCAGCACTGGTCAGGTTGACCCCCAGGACACTGGATACAAGCACCTCTGACAGGTTGGCCTTGACCCTGAGAAGACCAGGCCCCAACTTCTCAGCAGGGGCCCAAGAGCATCGGGGGACCCCCGGAGCCCCGCCTGTCCGGATGCCGAGAGCCTGCAGGTGTGGCCTCCTGGGCAGCCATGGGCCATGAGCTAAGAGAAGCGGCAGAACCTGGAGGGGGTATGGATCTGTCTAGCGAGCCACCCTAATCCTGGGCCTGGGTCCTGGGGTGCTCCGATCCCAGGCGTGGCCCAATGGCCAGTGCCTCCTTCAGGCCTCAGGCCTCTGCTGGCACCCGTGGTCCCAGGCGGTGTGCAGAGTGTCTACGGGGCCACCTGCCCCTCCGGTCATTGACCCTCAGTCTGTGTCCATAGGGGCACTGTGCCTGTGTCATGTCTGGAGGTCACTCCCCAGCCATGTCCAGGTGATCACAGACCAGGGTGTAGGTCATAGAGGCCACTGGCCATGGGTGTCCAGGGTGGTCTCTTACCAGGAGTCCTCATGAAGGTCATAATGGCTGCCGTTGCCCAGCGGCTGCCCGTCTTTTAGCCACTGGACTGGGAGCAGGGGACATTGGGGCGTAGAGACCACCCAGGCCGTGCAGTTCAGCGTGACCACACTGCCCAGGGGAGGCCCCAGAGTCTGGTCTCCGGAAGGGGAGAGGAAGTTGGGGGGCCTGTCGCAGACGCCTGCAGAGAGAGGACCCAGGGGGTTAGCGGCGCTCGGGACACCAGGCCCCCGCTGTCCACAGACAGTCTGAGGGCCAGGAACCACAAGGCCGGCCAGTGGCCTGGACCGCTTGGTGGTCACACCATGTCCATCCGCGAGTCCCACGGAGAACGGGGCCCCAGCATCTGACGGCTCATCCACCCAGGACGAGAGCCCCAGGCGCAAGGCCTCAGCCCCACCCCCACTGGGGAGCTGTAGTGAGTGTGGGCACCGTGGTTTGGGGGACTGGGGTGCTGGGGGTGCCAGCACCTTCCACCTGAGATGGGAGCCAGGGTCCCAGACCCTCTGCTGACCACAGGCAAGCCTTCCCGCCTCCTGAGACCTGAGCTTCTCTTCTTAAAACCAATGGACTGAGCACGAGCAGGAGCCAGAGCACACAGCCACCGCCTGATGGCGCGGTGCCCAGCAGCCCTCCG